TAGTAAAGACAGAGTTTCACCATATTGGCCAGGATGGTCTCAATCTCCTGACCTCGTGATCCACCCGGCTCGGGCTCCCAAAGTGCTGGGATTACAGGCGTGAGCCACCGTGCCCGGCCAATGGAATCACTTTCTAAAGGCAGCCCAGCCATGTCAGAGGGAATTCTCCACAAGATAATCAGAGATGCCAACCCCACCCAAAGCATCTGTAATGAACCTGATTGTTTTGTTTGTTTTTTGAGATGGAGTCTCGCTCTGTCGCTCAGGCTGGAGTGCAGTGGCACAATCTCAGCTCACTGCAACCTCCCCTCCCAGGTTCAAGCAACTCTCCTGCCTCAGCCTACCGAGTCGCTATGATTACAGGCGTGTACCACCACGCCCAGCTAATTTTTGTGTTTTTAGTAGAGATGGGGTTTCACCATGTTGGTCAGGCTGGTCTTGAACTCCTGACCTCATGATCCACCCGCCTCGGCCTCCCAAAGTGCTGGGATTACAGGCGTGAGCCACCGTGCCCGGCTAAACCTAATGTATTTCACAAACAAAAATGTGTTCAATCTTTCCAGTGATGAGGGAAATACAAATATAAACAAGTTAGCCCTTTTTGCCTATCAGCTCAGCAAGAATGAAGACAGCTACTAAGATCCAGCATTGATCAGGGTTGACAAGGGGCACTTTCCACCCTTCAGTGGGACTGTGGATCAAATGACTTCAGCTTCTTTGAAAAGCAGGTTGGCAGTACCTGTGAAAATTCTCAGTGCATACACCCTGTAAGCCAGTAACCCCACTTCTACAGAAGTGCACAATAAATATCAGCTGGGCACGGTGGCTCACGCCTGTAATCCCAGCACTTTGGGAGGCCCAGGTGGGTGGATCACCTGAGGCCAGGCATTCGAGACCAGCCTGACCAACATGGTGAAATCCCATCTCTATTAAAAATACAAAAATTAGCCAGGCGTGGTGGCGGGCGCCTGTAGTCCCAACTACTCGGGAGGCTGAGACAGGAGAATTGCTTGAACCCAGGAGGTGGAGGTTGCAGTGAGCTGAAATCGCACCATTGCACTCCAGCCTGGGTAACAGAACGTGACTCCATCTCAAAAAAAAAAAAAAAAAAAAAAGAATAAGTATCGCCTATATCCCAAGTAGCTAAGCATCACTGAAAACACAACCAGAAGCCAGGCACGAAGTAACAGCAGCGTCAGTGCACCACGTGGTGCATCCAAGCACAGAAAGCCCCACCACACTCAAATGAGCCACAAAGGCTACATGTGGAGTGCAGACAGAGATCGGAAAGACACACGCTGACCACAGGCTGCCAGGCAGGCACAGGGGGCAGGAGCAGGGACTGTATCCTGGGTGGCACCATAGATGCTGTTATGGGAATCTTCCTGTTTGGACCCTGGGTGGGAAAATGATGGCCCAGCCAAAGGGTTTTGGTGAGCAGGTGCGTTCGACAGACCACAGAGGCTTCTGACAGAAATGCCACAAGGTCCTAAGCCCCCCTCCATCTTCTTCCCTCCTCTGGCAACCAGAATAAGACAGTCCCCAACATTAGGCAGAGGCAACTGTGTTCTAGTGCCAGGGAGGGGATGTCAACAAACAAACAAAAATGACACCACAGCAGCACTGCAGGGGAGGACTCACCTGAGAAAGTGTTGTCTGCAAAACGCAACAGTAAACTGCTCTTGCCCACACCTGCAAGAGAGAAAGCACTGTGATGAGGGGGGCAGGTGGGTCCCCTCCCTCCAGTCCCGGCCCTTCTTCCGGGACAGGATGCCTCAGTACCAATTTTTAAGAAGCTTAGTGGGACCCAGCTCACTTCTCAATGCTCTTTCCACCTCCCTGAGAGGCCGCACACCAAGAACATCTCTTCCACTGGATCCCTGACCTTTTCCTTCGTCCTTGTGTAAGACAAGCTGTTCCCAAATCCCCTGAGGGAGAGATGAGAAAGGGACTGGTGCCCAGGTCCTGGGCTGAGGGCTGGCCCAAAGGGAGATGCCAGACGACAAAGCAGAATGAAGGTCAACCACACGAAACAGCCCCCAAGTCCGTCTACAACACAGTCCCTAGAAAAGTGCGCAGCATGTTACGGCACATCGGTTAGGGAGCCGCCCAAAATGCAGAGCTGTGGAGCATGAAAGCACCCTTGAGATCATCAGGGCTATCTTGCAGGTGAGGAAACCGAGGCCCACATAGCTAGAACTTAATGGCCACCATCTTTCTGGCTGATATCCCCACTGGGTGGACTGGTGGAGTGGAGGGTCTGCCTTATATCCATCAGGGCAGCAGCCCACATGTGCTCAGACCGTGCACCAGCCACAGCAGCTCCTGGCTACTTAGAGCACAAACAGGTACACATCTGGCCTCCCCCACTTTTTTTTGTAAAGAAATGGGGTTTCATTCAGTCACTCAGGCTGGAGTGCAATGGTGCAATCATGTCTCCCTGCAGCCTCCAACTCCTAGGCTCACGTGATCCTCCGGCCTCAGCCTCCTGAGTAGCTGGGACCACATGTGCACACCACCATGCCCGGCTAATTTTTTTTATTTTTAGTAGGGACAGAGTCTTGCTATGTTGCCCAGGCTTATTTTTTTTTAACTTTTGTAGAGACGAGGTCTTGCTATGTTGCCCAAGTTGGTCTCAAACTTCTGGCCTCAAGCAACCCTCTCGCCTGGGCCTCCTGAAGTGCTGGGATTACAGGCATGAGCCATTGTGCCCGGACCTCTCCCCTTGACTTCAACTCACAGTGCTTTCAGCCTGCCAAGTGCACCTGTTCCATGTCCTCCTATCCTGTCCCCAATCTTCAACACCCCTGAGGCCAGCCAGGTTAACTGACCACAAAGAATTCACAGGCATCGGGCTGTGTGTGTGGTGAGCCCTTGGAAGCCTCTTTGGTGATAATTCTGGCCACATCTCTTGAGATGAGGAAGCCCAGGCCCACAGTGGCCGGCCTAAGTGCCTCTGCGAGCAGCCGGAAAGCTGAGATCCGCAGCCAGGCCCGACTCCTCCAGAGTGGTAACACTCCTCCCAGTACACACTGCTGGGAGTCTTGCGTCTGGTTCAGGAGGGGAAAAAATGGCCCGCGGGGGCTCCTGCATCTCACTCCTGTTCGATTTTTAATGAAAATGCAATGACAGCTACGAAACCCCCTGACACAAAGTGCAGATTTGAGCCGAGGTGTCTATTCATGGGAGAAGCCCACAGCATTTTTTTTTTTTTTTTTTTTTGAGAGACAGGGTCTTACTCTGTCTCTCAGGCTGGAGTGCAGTTGTGTGATCATAACTCATTCTAACCTTGAAATCCCCAAGTACCTAGGACTACAGGCATGCGCCACCACACCCAGCAAACTTTTTAAAAATTTTTTGTAGTGATGGCCTTTCACTACGTTGCCCAGGCTGGTCTCAAACTCGTGGTCTCAAACTCCTGGCCTCAAGCAATCTGCCCGCTTCTGCCTCCCAAGGTGCTGGGCTAACAGGCCTGAGCCACTGCATTTGGCCCCACAACTTTTAATAGATTCTCAAGAAGGGCACTGCCTCCACCCCCACTCTGCCAAGTAACCAAAGTGGCAAACCACTGTTGCAGCTATATTTCCCTAAGCCTAAGCCCAGCATCCTCTCTGGGAAATCCTCTAAACATCCCTTTCTGGGAGCTTCTCCTGGTGAGTGAGCTGCCCCGAGATGCCCAGAAGAACTTGTTTCACTGAGTAAGCCTGAGTCTTACTTTCCTAAAGACAGGCCAGGGTGAGGCTCTCCTGGGCAGGCAGATGCTGCTCAGCCCCGGGCCTGCAGCGCTCATGCTCAGGGCCACTTCCTCCTTGCTCCGCCGTAAGGCTTCCTGCTGAGCCCAAGGAGAGCCCGAGTCCCTGGCTGGGTCCTTCACGGCACTGTGCCCAACACCAGCACCCCACTGGCCTCGCCGCCTCCTCTGCTTCCTCCTGGAGCCTTCTGGGTCCAGCTTACTCAGCTAAAAGCTTGAATCTGGGAGTTTCTCTAGGACAGAGCCCTCTCCTCACCCGCCCTGTGCATTCAGAGTGCTGTAAGCCAGGCCCAGCACTTAGTAGGTGCCAACCAAACACTGCTTAATGAATTTCTGCCTAAACAAACGCCCGCCACACTGACAGCTCTGCTATCTAGCGCTACCACTGCAACACAGCAGGCGCCTAAGCAGGGGTTTCCAAACTTCTGCAGGGCAGCAGAATCCTTTTCTTCATCCAAGCTTTACCCAAATCCCATGTCTAAAACAGCTCTCTCTGCAATGACACAGCAGTATCCCCTCTAGCTTGGTGTCTCCAGGTCCCCACACACTGTCCCCAGGTATCTCAGCAGAGCAGTTAAAAGCCACCAGGCTGGCCAGGTGCAGTGGCTCACGCCTGTAATCCCAGCACTTTGGGAGGCCGAGGTGGGCCGATCACGAGGTCAAGAGATCGAGACCATCCTGGCCAACATGGTGAACACCCCATCTCTACTAAAAATACAAAAATTAGCCGGGCGTGGTGGCATGCACCTGTAGTCCCAGCTACTCGGGAGGCTGAGGCAGGAGAATTGCTTGAACCCAGGAGGCGGAGGTTGCAGTGAGCCAAGATAGTGCCAGTGCACTCCAGACTGGTGTCACAGTGAGACTCCGTCTCAAAAAAAAAAAGAAAAAAAATTGGGAGGCCGAGGCAGGCAGATCACGAGGTCAGGAGTTCCAGACCAGCCTGACCGATATGATGAAACTCTACCACTACTAAAAATACAAAAATTAGCCAGGTGTGGTGGCGCACGCCTGTAATCCCAGCTACTTGGGAGGCTGAGGCAGGAGAACTGCTTGAACCCAGGAGGCAAAGGTTGCAGTGAACTGAGATCATGCCACTGTACTCCAGTATGGGCAACAGAGCCAGACTCCATCTCAAAAAAAAAGCCACTAGGCTGCAGAAAGACCACAACCATCACCACATTATCTGCTGCTTTGGACCTGACATCAACCTCTGACACTGCTCTCCCTTTGAGAGGAACAGAAACCCACCCCAAGAAATGCTACCTCCTAAATATTCCTGAAAGAGGCTTTCTCAGAAATACAAGCTGCAGCCATTACCCACACCACCAGTGTCAGGGCAGAGGCAGAGGGCACCAGTCAACCTTCACCATAGCCACCGCGAGGCTGCCCAAGGGCCACATCAGTGTGACCCCAACCAGTCCAGCCCGTCATTCTTTTTCTTTCTTTTTTTTTTTTTTTTTGAGATGGAGTCTCACTCTGTTGCCCAGGCTGGAGTGCAGTGGCGCGATCTTGGCTGCAACCTCTACCTCCCAGATTCAAGCGATTCTCCTGCCTCAGCCTCCCGAGTAGCTGGGATTCCAGGCGCCCACCATCATACCCAGCTAATTTTTTGTATTGTTAGTAGAGACAGGGTTTCACCACGTTGGCCAAGCTGGTCTCGAGCTCCTGACCTCAAGTAATCTGCCTGCCTCGGCCTCTCAAAGTGCTAGGATTATAGAAGCGAGCCACTGCGCCCAGCCTTTTATCCCTGGCTGCTGTCTGGTCCCCACCACGCAAGCCACACACACGTCTTCCCTTCCCCCTGCTCCTGCCTGGGCTCTGGCCCCTCACTCCTGTCGGCTTCAGTTCCACCTCCTGAAGAGCCCCAGACCTTTCAGTGAAGTGTTCTCTATTTTTTTTGAAACAGGGACTTGCTCTGTTGCTCAGGCTAAAGTGCAGCAGCATGATCACAGCTCACTGCAGTCTCAACCTCCCAGACTCAAGAGATCCTCCCACCTCAGCCTCCCAAGTAGCTGAGACCACAGGCGTGCACCACCATGCCCTGCTAATTTTCTTATTTTTTGTTAAGACAGGGCCTCCCTGTGTTGCCCAGGCTGGTCTCAGACTCCTGGGCTCAAGCGATCCTCCACGTTGGCCTCCCAAAGTGCTGGGATTACAGGTGTTAGCCACCGTGCCTGGACTTTTTTTTTTTTTTTTGAGACAGTGTCTCACTCTGTCACCCAGGCTGGAGTGCAGCTGTGTGATCCTAACTCCCTGTAACTTTGAACTCCTGGGTTAAAACAATCTTCCTGTCTCAGCCTCCCACGTAGCTGGGACTATAGATGTGCACCACCATGCCCAACTGATTTTTTTTTTTTTTTTTAAGAGATGGGGTCTCACTATCACTATGTTGCTCTCACTATGGTCTCGAGTTCAAGTGTTCCTCCCGCCTCATCCTCCCAAAGCACTGGGATGAGCTACTGTCCCCGGCCATGTTCTCAATTTTAACCCTGCCTCAGCAACTACTTCACTGTATAAACTCATGCAAGTCACACCCTCTCTCTGAGCCTCAGTTTACTCATCTGTCAAGTGAAGGGCTAACTCCATCTCCTAATGAGGATGGCTGGCCTGAGGGATGCAGACGAAATGCTGTTACAAATCAAAGCCAGTGTCAGAGAGTGTAAGGGAAAGTACAGAAAATACAGAACTGGCCGGGCACGGTGGCTCACGTCTGTAATCCCAGCACTTTGGGAGGCCGAGGCGGGCGGATCACGAGGTCAGGAGATCGAGACCATCCCGGCTAACACGGTGAAACCCGGTCTCTACTAAAAATACAAAAAATTAGCCAGGCGTGGTGGCGGGTGCCTGTAGACCCAGCTACTCGGGAGGCTGAGGCAGGAGAACAGTGTGAACCCGGGAGGTGCGGTCGGCAGTGAGATCGCACCACTGTACTCTAGCCTGGGTGACAAAGCGAGACTCCGTCTCAAAAAAAAAAAAAAGAAAAGAAAATATAGAACCTCCAGCATAACGAAGGGATGCAGAGGTCGAGGGAATCCATTGCAGAAGCATCCACAATGTGCAGAGTGGGCAGAACTCTAGATTTATGAAGAAAGAAACCAGCATTCCTGGAGGGCCTATTGTTTGCCAGCCCTGACACCAGCTGCTCGCACATGTATTAGCACTGAGGTGCAGTAGCTCCCAGCTTTGCCCCTGCTGAGTTGTGTGATTTGGGGCAAGTAAGTCACCTCCTCTGAGCCTCAGTTTCCTTCTTTTAGAGTTTCATTCTTGTCGCCCAGGCTGGAGTACAATGGTGCGATCTTGGTTCACTGCAACTTCCGCCTACCAGGTTCAAGTGATTCTCCCGCCTCAGTCTCCCAAGTAGCTGGGATTACAGGCACATTCCACCATGCCCCACTACTTTTGTATTTTTAGCAGAGACGAGGTTTCATCATGTTGCCCAAGTTGGTCTCAAACTCCTGATTTCAGGTAATCCGCCGGCCTCAGCCTCCCAAAGTGCTGGGATTACAGGTGTGAACCACCATGCCGGGCCTTAAGCCTTAGTTTCCTTATTTGACAAAACACACAGGCCGCGGGTGAAAATAAGCGTCTGTGAAATCGTTCTTAAGGAGGCATTCACAGAAGGAGCCCAGTTCAGGAGTGTGTGATGTCAGTCTCTGTGCTCAGCTGCCAAAGCTTAGTCTGGACTTCCATGGCTACCATCTCCCAGCTTTGAGTATCTCAATGTCGGGAGAAATCAAAGAGCACAGTGTCTATCTCCACTGAACAACCTACACCTACATGGCTGACCTAGGAGCTAGACCACATCAATCTCGACCCAATGAGTCTTCTCCCACACCTGACTTTGGAGAGAAAAATCAATTCATCACAAAAAAAGTACTGTCAGAAAGCGGGCCAACCCATCCCCTGGGCTTTACAGAGGAGAAGAACCAAAAAGCTGCATCTTCCTGCTGAGTTTAGGCTTTTCACAGTTGGGTATCAACACAGAGGTCCAAGATGTCTTGCAGAGGGATAAAGGCTCCTGACCACGGCGGGCTGACTGTCACTCCAAAAAGACAGAAATGGCCCCAGTGCCAGTCCCTCAGAACCCAGGCCAGGGCTGCAAGGAAATCATGTAAAGGAAGAAGCCTCAAGACCCTGAAGAATGCCAAAGGCCATCTCCAAGAGAACATTCCACAGCTTGCCTGGTTTCCCTTCATTCAAACCATAACCAATCAGTCCTCCACCTTTCTACCTCTTTCCCCAACCTCAGTTAATCTTCTATCTCCCTGGTTAGCCCCCAGCTTTCCCCCTTACCTCTCCCCTCCTCCAGCAACCACGGAAACCTCAGCCATCCTTCACCTGATCCAAACCACCAACCACATCTCCATCCAGCTTTACCAGTGAGGGCAAAATCACCCACCTCCCTGACCCTGTTTTGACATTGCTACCCAACACTTCTACATCCCAAGTCTTACTGCTCACTTGATTTGATCCCTTTCCCTTAACAGTCCATGGGCTCTACCATGAGCCTGGCCTCTGCTCCCAATCACAAGACATCCTCCCCACACTCAGCTCAGGTCTGGTCTACAAACTGAGCATGCTCCCAAGACTGTTTCATGAACATCATATAACCCCAGCATCTCAGCTTCGCTCCCATAAACGTTCTGGGGCCTGCCTCCCTGACCTCTTGGTCACTCCATAAACCTGCTCACCTGCCACACTCCAAACAGCTCTAAAACCCTCCACATTTTCCCAGAAACCAGTCTACCTTTTCGAAGCACACTTAATATTCATTCATTCACCCTGCAAATACGTCTTAAGCACTTACTGGGTGCCAGGCACTGTTCTAGGCACTGGAGCTAGAGCAGTGATCAGGGCTAGGAGCCCTCAAGCAATGTGTGTGTGTTTGTGTGTGTGTGTGTGTGTGTGTGGCCAAAGCGCTTTTATAATTTTGGCTGTCCCATCCCCAGGACCCCTCTGTATATAGTAGTGTAACAGCAAACAGAGACAACTCACTATGTGCCAGGAGCTGTGCGCAACACTGCACAATCTCACTTAATACTCACATCAACTCCATAAGGCAGATCCAACTATCATTACATTTTACAGATGAGGAAACTGAACCATGCAGAGATACAATAATTCAGCGGGAATATGCCAGGCCTTGTGCAAAGCCCTTTATCCGACTTACCTCATTTAAAACTCAGGGCAATCCCATGAGGCAGGTTCTGAGAACGTCCTCATTTTAGATGGGAAGAAACTGACGCTTACAAAGGATACTGATGATAACGACAATTGTGAACATTTACTTAGAGCTTACTTTACGGAGTAGGGCGCTAAGCACTTTTCCTTCTTTATCCCATCGAATCCTCACACCACCCAGCAAGGCACGTCCCCACTTCTCAGATGAGGGTACTGAGGCTCAGGACGGCGAAGCAACTTGCCCAAGGTCAGCGCGCGGCAGGTGGTAGTCCTGAGACTCGAACCCAGGTCTCTCCAACTCCAGCGATCGCGCGACTTGACCAAGGTCACACGTGAGGCACGGGCAGGCGCGATGACTGGACCCGGCGCGCTCGGCCCCTCCGCCCCTCC